TAATTTTCCCTTTGGGGCCCCGCCCTGGCCCCAGGGGTTGGGGTAGGAATCCCAATTTTACAATTTTGAAGCCTCATCTACCAAGGATGATTCTGACCAAGTTTGAAAAAAATCCATCCACTGGTTCTTGAGAAGAAGTTGAAAATGTAAAAGTTTACGCACGACGGACGACGACGGACGAAAAGCGATTGGAATAGGTCACTTGAGCAAAGCTCAGGTGACCTAAAAACATATCTTCTGATGTCGCTTACATTAAAGGCTAATATTCGAGGTATTGTCTGAAGACGCTTTACGATCTGTAGTGTTCTATATTCACACACGTATGCCACGCCGCCAATCGTAATTATTAATTAAACATAACTTGATCATGTTTTTAAATATCGAGCTGAAATTTGGAGTAAATATCAATAAAAGTCTAACTAATAACATATCCTCTGATGTCGCTTACTTTAGCGAGTAATTTTACCAATATTATCTGGCGACGCTTTCTTCACTTTACACGCATATACACACATGTGCTACATCGTAAAAATTCAATTCATCATAACTTGGTCATTTTATCAAATATCAAATTGAAATTTGGTACAGGGGTGTATTATAGTCATATTAACAACATATCTTCTGATGTTGCTTACTTTATTCAGTATTTTTGAAGATTTTGTCTGGCGACGCTTGTTGTCATTTGAAGACGCTTGCTGGCGGTTGAAGACGCTTTTAAGTGAGACCCGACATTTTGTGACTGATAAATAGTACCTCCACCCTTTCAATTTTTTATTTATTTTGTTGTTGCAGGGGTATAAGTTTTTCAGACAAGAAGCATACCCCCCTGTCACACATCTGGTAGAGAATGAGATAACCATACTTTTAATAACATTATCTTTTTAAAACATATTTATATCAGAATTATGCTTGTTTATGAGATATCTTTCTCCGAATTTTGAAAAACGATGCTGTTTTCCTCAAAGGTAAATATTTGATTTTAACCTGTACAATGCCATGCGTTTTCGTCACGTGCATACGTAAACAGCTAGTATTGGAGAAGATCTGACCACAGTTTTCTAATGGGCAAGGCTCATTACACTGGACATCTCCGAACGCTTCTTCAGGTGGACATACGATCCAGACAGGCCTGCTCTTGTCCATAGTCATCGAAATGTTGGTAGGCGTGGACCCCTCCTTATTACATTCCTTAACTACCTCAGTCGCCATCCTGCATGCTTAACCTCCTTGTATCGCTTACATACGTTTGTGACCTTTCCCTGTATTTGAAATATGAGTCATTTTAAACAACACGTGCAGGTAATACACTTGTGGAAACCCATAACCGTCTTGAAATGACATTTCATGCTTTGCCGAGTTATTAGCGGAAGTTATGTACGGATGACCTCCCTTGGGAAAGTGGATAAAACTTGTACTACTACCCCAACCCGCGCCGCGCTCGTTGATCAATGAGTTACATGAATGTATACGTATGTAGCACACAATTCAGCAATGCCCTCTGTATATATCACAAAAAGCGAAACAATAATTTTGACCTGAAAATAGCATATGAATTGTGATAAAAATAAAGTCAATAAATTTTAATTAATTTATTAATTTTATTTCTTTTTTTTTAATTTTATTTCTCTATATGCTGATGTGTGCAATACAAATTAAAGTGAAAGATTAGGAACATGCCTACTATTAAAAATAATTAAACAAATAAAACAGCTTCCCAATACCATTCCATGCGTTTCAGTTTAAAAGAATTGATCAAAGAACCAATATAACATAACTGATGAATATCACAGATCTTATGCCGTGTGCACGTGTAGCTTAATATGTAACACTCATTCTTCATATGTAGATACATGAAAAAAAAAAAACAAACAAAACTTATACTGTTGTACAGTACTGGAATAACAACAAACGAAAAAATAGATATTGGTGTTTAGTACATGTAAATTGTAGTCATATTGTTGATCACTTGAACAACTGAGTGTTTGGAAAAGTGGACAGTGAAACACGTGACGTGTATGTCGGGAAAGATAAGTAAACCCGATCTAAAACAATACGTACTTTATCATGTTATATATTGTAAACACGAATCATTACTCTATGTGCAAGCTTCATACTGTAGGGAAGGCAAGCGTCATGGTACACTCTCCTATATATGTTTTATGCTATGTAGAAGGTAAGTGTCACGGTACACTCTCCTATGGATGTTTTATGTTATGTAGAAGGTAAGTGTCACGGTACACTCTCCTATAGATGTTTTATGCTATGTAGAAGGTAAGTGTCACGGTACAATCTCCTATAGATGTTGTATGCTTTGTAGAAGGTAAGTGTCACGGTACACTCTCCTGTAGATGTTTTATGCTATGTAGAAGGTAAGTGTCACGGTACAATCTCCTATAGATGTTTTATGCT